TTTTACAAAAATTAAATTTACAGACACAACACAAATATTAAAAGTTTGTTTGAATTTATGAATTTTTATCCCATCATTATAATATTTAATTTTATAACTACAATAATTAATTTCATCATTATTATCATTTTTATTTTTAATTTTACAAAAACAAATCTCATTCCGAGATCAAACAAACCCTAACATACTAGACAATTAATTGTGATACTTCCCACGCTTCAATTTCCTAGTAAAAATTGGCCAAAAAATAATTCTCAGTAAAAATTTCTCACGTACGGAGCTGAAAATTGAGAAAATTTTAAAAAATCAAGAATAAATAATTGGAACTAAAAGACGATATTACCCTTAGATTTGCAAGTTGCTATGCTAAAGACAAAAGAACTTGGGATAGGACCCATACAAATCTGGGAATGAGAGCAGCGTCCATCCACTTAACTAACACATAGCCCACATCCATCCACTTGACCAACGCATAGCCCACCCCAGACGTGATGCTCTTGACTTGGATTGGCTTCTCAGAATCCCAGTTAACTCTCCCAAAGTTGAGCCCACCACATAGCCCCTGGGCTCCACCACTTTTGCAAAATCACTTGCTCCAATTTGCACCACGGTCCCACCTAGGTCAAGACCAACCACTCATATTCATCCGTGGTAGTTCCGTAATTTCAGTAAAATCCCGGTTTTTTTTTTTTTTCCTGTGGAAGCTGAACAAATAATACAGTCAGAAAAATCCTGCCCTTTCCCTATCCTGGGGAAATGCCACTGGTTTTTTGTGTCAGGTGGTGGGATTGAATCAGAACCGTTTATTGCGTCAGGTGGACAATCCGGCGGTGATGGCAGGTCCCAGTCACGTGATATTGTTTGGGAGGGGTCTACTGTTGTTGAACGTCAACCGTGTACTAGTCTCCCGTCTCCGTCCAACTCGCAGATATACGGAGAAAAGCCCGACTTGCTAAGAATTGTGCTAACTTTAGGGTCTGTTTGGAATTGATTTTTTTTTTCTTGTTCTTATATGAATTTTGAAGTTACATGACATGAAGCATGAGAACTCATTCTCTCAATTCCTAAGTCTCATACATAAAACGAGTATTATAAAAACGAATATAAATGAGTATTGTATACGATTAAACAGAACATATCATACGGATTGACATGATAACATTATAATAAATTAAATGAGTTATGTAGGTCATATTCATGTTAAACATTATTAACGTATTAAGTTTGTTTAAAGTTGATATGTCTGTATTTCTTGACGCTTATTATTGATGTTTTTAATAAATGAACAAGTTTTTATTTTTAAAATAAAAATAAAAATTCAATACTTAATTTTACATGTTAATAGAATAAGAAAACTCTTCATAAAATGAAATTAAAAAATGAAAGCAATCAGTGTCAAAGAAATGTATCAAAATATTAGTAATTAAATAATAAGAAAATATTTATGCGTTCTATCTGAAATCAACCAAATTAATTTCAAGTTAGTCATGACATAGTAAGTGTTAGTAGTTTAAAATAAGGTGCATCCCACATTAGATGAAAAAATTTAATTATTTAGAAATAAAATTAATTTTTATATTAATTTTATTCATATTTTTAGTAATTATATTTGAACAAAAATAATTATCATATGACAATTGGTCATAATTATTTTGAATATAAATAGATTTTTGTTCATAAAGGTCATGATTATATAAAATGTTATAACAATTTGATTAGAAACTTATATCTATTTCTTCATTATAAATAGATATTTCAATATAATTATTTTTACTACTTTTGGTTGGAGAGTTTGAGATTTTATTGTATTCTATAAACATAATTACTTTTAAGAAAATATTTTTCACACTTCAAAGTCAACATTTTTTTTTTATTATTTCTATTCTCATATTTATTTTTTTCTAACAATTTAAAAGTAATTATGAAATTTATATTTTGCATGAGCAAAATATAAGGAAAAGAAATTAACAAAGTTGGCAAATCGGCTTTTAAAATAAGTATGGAAAGCTTCAATTATCCAAATAAATTTTTGGTGAAATAAATACTAAATACAAGATAAGTTTTTTGTTATTATCTTTTTAGTTTTTATATTCTACTAAGAATCGATAATTAATAATTCATAAAAGACTTTAAGTGTCATTGAATTTTGCTTTCTTTATTGACCTATTTTTTTAATTTTTTAATTTTGAATTAAATTATATAATTTATGATTCATAATTTTATGGTATGTTATATATGGATTTTCTTGATAATGACATTGAATGATCATGAGCGTGAAATGGACATAGAGTAGTTGCTAGCTTTGGTTATGAGTCTTTTATAACTTTGTTATATTTTGGTAAGATCATGGTTATCAAACCAAAAAAATAAAATTTTTGAGGATTATTTTAAGGCATAAAAAAATTTGTAAATTTATAAATCTTTTCGAAAAAAAGTAAGTATTTATGTTATTATCATAAAATCATATTTTATAGTCCATATTCCATGATTGCATTTTATTGACAAGAAAATAATGCATGAATCATATTATTTGATTTATATAATATTATTTCGACAAGAAATAAACATATTATCTAAGTTAACTTCAATTCAATTGAAGAAGTTATATAATTTTTTGTAACTAGTTAAAATACTTTCTATTTGTTGGGTGAAAAATCTTATGTATTTTATAATATGGACACAAAATTTATAGTATTGTGTGGTTATACATGAAATTATGATTATTCTTAACGAAATGAACCATGGTAGATATTGCTTTAGTGTCCATGATAAAATAATTTTATAAGTATTCATGAGTTGGTATGAAAGTCTCAAAAGGAGACTATAAAAAGTATAAGTTTACTAGTTTTTAGGGTGATCATATTTTGTATCATACTTATTAATGCATGTTCTCATATTGAGTTGAAATAAAAATTTTGAAACTTTTATGAAAATAAAATATTAAGATATAAAATATTTACAAGCTATATTTTACTAAAGGTATCTTTGGAGGTATCCTACTTAAAAAAAAAATCACCAAATAGTAAAAATATAAATGAAATAGTAACTTGATTAAGTATATATAATATCTTAATAATTGAATAAGACATATTTTAATAAAAGAATGTAAATTTGCACATGATAGAAGTGATAAGAATAAAAAAAAATAAAAATTACTACTATAGTATCGTAAGATTTTAGTATAATTTTATTAGCAAATTATATAAACTAATAAGTTTACTAAAACTTATTAAAATAAAATCATAAAAGGTCCTTAAACATCTTAAAAGCACTAAAATGGCTTGGTTTATTTATTGAGTTTATTACATTATACTAAAAATAATTGTATTAAAATAGATAAAAGAGTAGAAATAGAATGGTCGAAATTTTATATTAATGAGTATAGAGTTATAGCCACAACTAATGCTATCTATTTTTTAAAATGACAAGAATGATGCAACAATGTCTAGAGCATATAAATGATATGCAAAATGAAAAATTTGGATATATTAGCCTCAAATAATTATATTAGAGATTCAGGAGTTAATTACTTTAAAAGAAAATTAAATTTCAAGATATTTTGTTAGTAGTACTATAAGTAGAATAGGTTTAAACCTTTATTATTAAACACCAATAATGGGAATCTAACTTTGAATTAGTAAACTCTAATTACAAAATTTAATAAGTAAAAACAAATTATTGTTATATGTTTGTTAAACACTAGTAAAATTTATTCAAATTTTAGAAATTAGTGTGATCCATTATGTAGAGATGATGAGTTTTTATACTCTTAATGGAGTATTTAAATATCTAAAGTAATAGAGACATAATAGAAACTTTACCTATATAAACATAAAAGTGGTGCCATTTCAACAAGAAGAATTAAGATCTCTCTTATAAATGTTTATGAATAAGATAAGTAAATGACCATAATAGTGCTAAAATAGTTATAAACTTTTGACAGAAGAATAAATAAGTATTATATGTATTATATCTTTTATTTTAACACTAGGAGTTGAGGTTTAATCTGTAAACACTATCAATTTTACTAGAATTTTAAGATATATACGCTAATTAAAAGTTTAAATTAAGATATTCCTTCGTATATTCATAATATTTATTTATGTGAAAGGTTAAAGATTAAGCACTAACATTTCAAAATAATAGGGGATTATTGATAGTTTAAAATGTGGTACATCTTACATTAGATAAAAAGATTAAATTATTGATAAATAAAATTAATTTTTGTATTAATTTTATTCATATTTTAAATAATTATGTTTGAATATAAATAATTATCATATGATGAATGGTCATAACTATTTTGAATATAAATAGATTTTTTTTATGAATATCATGATTATATAAAATGTTATAACCATTTGAATAAAAATTTATATTTATTCATTCATTATAAATAGATTTTTCAGTATAATTATTTTTATTATTTCTGATTGGAGAGTTTAAAATTTTATTATATCCTAAAGATATAATTACTTTTAAAAAAATATTCTTCACGTTTCAAAATAAAATTTTTTTTTTATTTTTATTCTCTTATTTATTTTTTTAACAGTAACTATATGTTGAGACTATTTTTCCTAACATTGTTTAGGCATAAAAAATATAAAAAATGTTTTGGATGTGTTAATATAAATGTCAATCATTTTTATGATTTCTTGCTTTTATCTTAAGTATCTTCAAGATATAACAACAATTAATTAGGTTTATTTTGATTTTTTATTATAGTTCCTTTATGATTACGCTGACCGTCTTTTTATTATAACTCTCCTCATTCTATGTATGTGAACTTAAAACTTACAGTGTGATAACCACAGACAAAAATATCTTAAATATCTTCAAGATCAAGCTCCAATTAATTTTAAATATTAGAAAAGCCGGCAAAAATGAAAATGCCCTTTTTAAATAAGTGGTGTGTTGTGTTCAGCTCTTTGATCTAATAATTAAAGAATTCTTAAAGGAATATCAAGGTCTTCAAAATCAAGTTGTAGATGACCTATAAAAAAAAAAAAAAAAAAAAAAAAGGTCGTTGGGTGCTAGCATTGCCCTTTCTATAATTTCCCGCACACCAAACAGCTCTTTGACAACCCAGCTCAGCAAAAACTCAAGTGGGCAACTGCGCATCACCATGTCAGATCCAATCACTCAAATGGACGGCCCAGATCTTTTGCTTACATCCAGCTAGACTCCCTATAAAACTCTTCACGCCTCTTTTCATCTATACCTACATATCTTTTAAACGCTGCTGCAGTTGCAGCAGGGAAGCGAGGGGCAAAAGCAAGGTAGAACTGAAGCCAGATATTTGGCTTATTTATAAAATTCACCCTTTATATTTCTTAACATTTCATTTTAGTACAAAATGCTTTTAAGGAGCGCATCAACTCCAATACTGAACTCATGGATCCCACACTCGAAGGAACCATCGCCGGAGCCCGAGTTTTCGCACCGGATTTCTCGGACCCGAACCGTTTCGTTCACAGCTTCATGTTCTAGCTCCGTTTCTGTGGGGTCGAGTGACGATTCGAGTCGGAGAATGACGAGGGCTTTGTCGGAGACGGATCTAAGGGACCTGGTGGTTCCCAAGATGAAAACTGTTAAGAAGAATAACGGAATCTTGAATGGGATCTGTGTTGAGGAAGAAGACGAGGTGGTGAAAGAAGAAGCTGGACTTGAGTGGTGGAAAACGGGGTCTTTTGTAGTGGAGGAAGGCTATGGGATGGGCGGTGGTGGAGGAAAGATCTGCGGTGGGGGTGGTGGATCCGACGGTGGAGATAACGAATGGGGCTTTTGGGATTCGAATAACGGAAGTGATGGTACCGATTTGTATTATCAGAAAATGATCGAGGCTAATCCTGGAAATTCCCTTCTTCTCAGCAATTATGCTAAATTCTTAAAAGAGGTAGCTTTATTTATTTATTTATTTCACCAAACAAAGGTTAAAATGAGTTTTGAGTTTGATCCAATGTTGGAAATCGGGACAGGTTCGTGGGGATTTCGTTAAAGCCGAGGAATATTGTGGGAGAGCAATCTTGGCAAATCCAAATGATGGGAATGTTCTGTCTATGTACGCTGATTTAATCTGGCAAACTCACAAAGATGGTCAGAGAGCTGAAACTTTCTTCGATCAAGCTGTTAAAGCTTCTCCTGACGACTGGTCATAGCCCAAAACTAAATTTTAAACATTGGTTTTTATTATTTATGGTTAATTACACAATTATTAACCAAAGTTTATATCTTTTTTTTTTTTTTAATGAAATTGCAGTTATGTGCTAGCATCATATGCACGATTTCTTTGGGATGCTGAAGAAGAAGAAGAAGAAGAGGAAAAAGTTGGGGAAATTTTGAGTAAAGGATCAGAGCAAAGCTTCTTCCGTGGAGCTCCTCCAAATCTTCCTCCTTTGGCTGCTACTTCTTAAGAATCTTGTGAGATAGCTATTTATTTAGCTTTTCTGACTTTTGTTAATATACCCATCTTTTGTTTTCTTTTAAGTTTTAAATTTTTACTAAAAGAGTGAGAGTTGTAGTTATTCAGAGATTTGTTTTGCTTTTCTCATTCTTGGAGCAGCCGTATCATGTACAAGGGAAAATAAGATAATGGAAATGGATTTTTCATTGGAATCTTCTCTCTCTCTTTTTAATCCTCTCTTTCTGATTTTTTTTTTTTGAAAAGTTTCAGGTTATTGATGATGTTGTAATAAGCATTTTTTGTGCTGTTCATATCACTAAGCGTGAAGGCCATTGGAGGAATTGATTTCTAGTTGTTTATCTTATCAAGATTGCTTAGTTCCTGTACCACCGAAACTAATTCCTAATTGGTCAAGATTAGAAGACAAAATCCACTGCTTTTATCCCAATGTTTTTGGGAGTTTTGTTATTATTTGTTGCTTTTGGGTGGTAATGAAGTTTTAGGAGGAGAGAATATTCAATTCTTTTTACATAATCTTTTTTACTTCATTAATCAAGATAGTGGTTCAATCCAACTTTTGAGTTCTTTCTTTTCTTTACAAAAGAAAAGGAGGGCAACGGGTTGATCCGAAAGAAATCAAATTACGTACATATGGTACAGGGTTATAGATTAAGAGTAGAGAAGATAAACATCAAGCTGTTTATAGAGTTTGCCAAGCAACCTTGTTGCTAATAAAATTTTTTTTGGTACAAAAAAGTGTAGGATGAGGAGAGGATTGGCATTCAGGGATAGGATAGACGGCAGTTCATGGATTTGCATTCAGGGATTTATATTAAATTTACAGATCGCTTACTTCAGGAGGTGATACTTGAATCTAAATTTTACAAGTGAATTATTCTAACTATATCAACTTAATCAACCTGTTGGCCGTTGCTAATAACATTCCTTGAAGATTTTTGTTCTTTCACAGATTCTGAAGAGAACTGTCAGATTTCATCATTATTTGGAGTACACGAAGAGCTAACTTCAGGTTTGGGAAATCAGGATTCAGGACATAACAGAAATGCAGAATTAACCTTTCTTTTTCCAAGGAAAACTAGCTACTTGAGCGGGAGCCTAGGGGAGGTCTGGAAGGATCAAATGATCCAAAACCAACCAAGAATTAAACCACTGACCAAACCAATTCCGAGAAACAGGACCAATACAGTTGCAGATAATTCTGCACCAGAAACTGGTACGGTTTTATGGTCTAGGATCATCAACGCGCTTGTTAGATATCCATGAGTGAGTCCGAGCATAAATGTAAGAACCACAACTAGTACTTTCGCCCTTAAGCCACTGTGGTCCATGGAGGAAAGCAGTGAAAAGTGGATTGAATAAAAGCGTAGATATGCAAGGCCATGTAGCTTTTTCAATGCTCTGTAGAACATATATTGAAGTTGGATACTTTCCCATGAAATCGTCAACATTATAGACGGTGATCAGCTAAACAGGATACCTTGGATTCCAGATTCTCGGCTAGAAATCGCGGGAAAGTAGTTTGTGTCACTATGTATATCATGAGAATCCCAAGAGCTGGCCAGCAGACCTTTCTTGCCACGGTCCAAAATTGCGGCCTGGAGCAAAATGGGTCATCTCGAATAACTCTGTAACGTTTGGCTAGGGAAAAAAAAAAAAAAAGACGTCTGTAACTTTGTTGCATTACTGGTAACTTACATAGCAAATTGCAGTAAAGAATGCAGCAAAGCAGGATAGTGTGGGGTGCTGACTATAAAGTAGAAGTGAGCACTTGTTGGGGTTTGTGGAAGTGAAGCCTTAGTTATTATTCTCACTTCCAGAATGTAAACCAGCACCACCTGTTATCAGACAAAGACACTAGTCTAACATAGGCCTGCACTAAAGCCAAATTCCAAAATTGTTGACCTTTTCCGTCCTCCATTTCAAAGTTTCAAGGACAAAAAATGGTTGATTTAACGTTATCAAAAGCTAAATATTTTTGGCTTTATGAAATAGTGGAATCATGATTAAGCTCTTTATTCAATACTACTAGTTTTCATAGCAATACAGGATAGACAAGAAGCTGTTGGTAACATGCGGTTACTTTTTGACTTTGAAAGTAATAACTTCTGAACTTTGTCCTCCAACATTTGCAGAAATGCAATTTTGATGATTAAAGTGAAATTTCTAGGCCTAACACAATGAATGATCTTGAGCTATAATATTCCAGATTTTATGACATTTGATTATTGATTTTATTGTGTTGGATGTGAACAACAAAGACGTCAGTACTGCTCCAGCATTTTAGGTAAGTGGCTGCAGGCCATATGACTTACCTGGCAATTTGTTTCCTACAAGTTGTAGTTTTCTGCGATAACAGAGCCCATACCTGATATTCATACACAGTTTCTTGAAAAAAACATTGATTTAGCTATATATTGCCAAGAAGCTGCAGTACCTCTGTATATATGTCTGTAACAAAATGATTTGTCTACACCCTGGAACCGTTCTCATTTATGTTCTTATGAGATGAAGCGGATCATGGTTTAATAATGAATTCATCGATTCATCGGATGGAACCTAAAAGGTTTGGCTTGAGCATCATTTGGCTCCGGGGTTTTGAGGAGGGCATATTTCGGCTAAACGAAATGGGTAGTAGTAAAGGTGCGTCAAATGACTGAAGTATAAGGTCGGTAATCCAATTTGTCCTCGACGAGTTTTGATTTGATTTAATCTTATGAGGTCGAGGTTTTTTTTTTAAATTCGAATTTTGGATCAGGTCGGATCGAGTTCGAGTTTTAGATAAACACGACCTGATATTATATAAAAAATTAATTTTTAATTTTTAATTTATATATATTTATATAATGATATTTTTAAATATTTATATTTAAAAAATAATATTTTATATTTTAAAAAATAATATTTTATTAATTTTTTGTCAGATCAGATCGGGTACAATTTATATAGTATCGGATCGGGGTCACGGTTGGATTCGGGTATGAAAAAACAAAAAAAATTTTGGATAAGGTTGGATTCAAATTTAATAACACATAAAATCAGATCGGGTTCGAGGCGAGCAAAACTCGCACAAAATTCAATCCGATGCCAACCCTACTGAAGCACGATGATATGTTCAACAATATATGCTTGTTACCTATTTATTTATTGAAACATGACACTATGGATGGTAATGGTTTGAATTAGATTTTTGTTTGTTTTAAATTCAATTTAATTTGATAAATTTTTAAAATTTTGTTTTATATTTAAATTCCTCTCAAAATTAATAAAATATTATTTTTAATATAAATATAAAATTAAAAAATATAAAAATTATAAAATTAAATAATTAATTAAAAAATAATTTTTTATAATATATTAGATCGTGTCGGATTACAATGAATTTATCTAAAATCCAACTTGATTTTTTTGTTACTATTATTCGGCCTGATCCAAAAACCAATTAAAAAAAATACCAATTATATAATATTGGATTAAATCAAAACTTGTAAAGAATTAGTTGGGTTGCCATCTTTATATGGCAGTGACGATTGATTTTGATAAACATATATATTTGGGCCAATGATAGTGTTTTCCCATTATAAAAAAAATAGTATCAAATAAAATATTTTTGATAAAAAATAATATTATCGAAATTATAGTATCAAATAAAATGTTCTTTTAATGAAATATATAATATATTTAAAAAAAACATATAAAAATATAATATATATGACATAAAAATTAAATAATTTTTTTAGAAGGAAATAGAAAATTTTAAAATAAATTAACATTTACATCATAATTAATAATATAAATGATATTATTTTGTTGTTTATCATCATGAAATTAATAATTGATTTATATGCTATTACATAAAAATAAAATAATTTTAGTTTTTTAGAAGAAAATTAAAAAATTTCAAATGAATTAACATTTACATCATAATTAATAATATAAATTATATATTTTTGTTGTTTATAAATTAATAGTTTATTATCACAAAAGATTACTACATGTGGCATGTCTGCATTGGTTGTAGTTAAGGGTGTAAATGATACATTAGTATTCGTAAATTATTCGGGTTCGATTAAAAAAAAATTCGAATTCAGTTCGATTATTGTCGAGTCGAGCTCGAGTAGCTCGACTTATCGATCGAGCCGAATTCGAGTATTCTTATATTTGACTCGAGTAACTCGCGAGCCTAATCGAGCTTTTATATTTAAATATATTTTATTATTTTAATTAATAAAATATTTCGAGTCTGAGTTCGAGTTCGAATTCAAATTCGAGCATGAATAATCGAACTCTTATCGAGTATACGAATCGAGATTATTTTTACATATTAATCGAGCTTAATCGAACGAGCTCGAGTAGTTCGAATTCTATCACGAATCGAACTCGAGCTTGAAAAATAAAACTCGATCGAGCTCGAGCCGAGTATCGAGCTTCGAGTTGTGAGTCGAGCTCGAGCTCGAGCTTCTCACTATTCGGCTCGGCTCGGCTCGTTTACACCCTTAGTTGTAGTGCCCCACAACTCACGAAAAGTAAAAGAACCCAAAAAGAGATGAAAATTTTCAAAAAAAGAAAAAGCGCGCTCCGCAGTAAGCACAGTGCATGATTGTGCCACTGTGCGTGCTGAGATAGTGGGAGAAAAAGAGACAGACAATCAAAGAAGAGACTCTAATGGAAAGTGAAACAAACATGTAAAAAATAAATTTTTATCCTATTTCATGAGAGAATATAAGTATATTTATACATTATTAAATTTATTATTATTGATAACATATTTTAATACGTTACAAATATTAATAACATATTCTAATACTTCTTTTCAAACAATTGAAAAAAACTCCACAAAAATTTATTTTTAAATAGATAAAAAAATAAGGAAAAAAATCATTTGATAAATATATCAGTTAGTTGTGATTGAAAACAAATAAAAAGGATTTGAAGAAAATGCTTGCAAACAAGATTTACAAAATGATAAGAGATCTTTATATGTTTTGTGTGAGCATGAAAGATTGGATTGGTATCAAGTTGAGTAGCATCCATATTGCCAGAATATACAGAACAAGGTAGTGCAAAAAGAAATCCAACCTCGTTATATATATGTATATAAGAAATTTAAAGTATATCTCGAAAAATTATAAAAAAAGTCATGTACTCTATTTCAGTACTAGATTGAGCAACAAAAACTTGCTTTTTAGTATACCAAGAAACAAGATTGGAACCTAAGAAAACATAGTAACCCATTGTAGAATGTTTAGTGTCTGGACAACTAGCCCAATCAACATCAACATAGCATATCAAATTCGATGTAATGCAAGGAAGTAATTGAAAATCACAATTGATAGTTCTTTTAAGATATCTCAAGATTTGTTTCATAGCTTGAAAATGAATATCATGAGATGCATGCATAAATTGATAGACTTGTTGTATAACATAGGTAATGTCAGGTCTAGTAAAGATAAGATATTGTAAAGCTCTAACTATGGTACAATTTTGTGATGGGTTTGAAAGTAAAGTTCCATCATATAGAGAAAGCTTCTTATCAGTAGTTATTGAAGTATAAGTAGGTTTACAGTTTTTCATACCCAAATGTAAAAATAGAGAAAAACATATTTTGTTTGTGTTAACAACAAATATTTAGGTGTACGATGTGCCTTTATTCCAAGAAAATAATGAAGAACACCAAGATCTTTCATTGAAATTTGTGAAAAAAATTATGAAATAAATGAATGAATAACACTTAATGAAGAGCCAACGAGAATGATATCATCCATATAAAGTAAAAGTAACATTATGTCAAGTGAGGAATGCCACATGAATATAGAAGGATCTGCTTGACTACTTTTTAAACCAAAGGCATGAAAAGTAGAACTAAATTTCTGAAACCAAGCTCGTGGAGCTTGGCGAAGACTATAAAGAGAGTAATGTAATTTACAAACATGATGATGATAATTAGGGCCCACAAACCTTGGTGGTTGTGTCATATAAACTTTTTCATGCAACTTACCATGTAAAAATGCATTTTTAATTACCTAGTGGACCATCATCTACTAATAGTAATTGAGAGAACAATTCGAATAGTAGTAGTTGTAACAATAAGGATAATGGTGGAGTCAAAGTCAATACCTTTTAGTTATATGAAGCCTTTGGCCACTAATTTTGCTTTATACTGCTCAATAGTACCATCAGCTCGCTTTTTGATTTTATAGATCCAACGACAACCAACAACATTTATGGATGAATTATGAGGCATTAAAGATTAATTATTATTTTGCATCAAAGCAAAATATTCATCATTCATGGTTGAAATCCATTATTTATCTTGATATGCTTCTTTGAAGAATCTTGGCTCAAGAGATGGATAATTTGTAACATGTAAAGAGTATGGTACTTTAGGCTTTCGAGTACCATCTCAACCTTGTGTAAACATAGGATGTATAGTTTTAGAACTAGAAGAAGTGGAAGGCTCAGATGATGGTTAAATAGAGCATGCCAACATAGTTGTATCAAGTTTAGAAATAGTTGTATTTGGGATTAAATCATTTGGTAATTGTTTTGATATAACTGTAATAGAAGGTATGGGCAGAGGTATTTTGAAACTAATTGTAGGAGATGTAAAAGAGTCAATGGGATGAGAAAAAATCCCAAGAGTTGTAAAACCAAAACGTTCTACAAAAAAAAAGTAATTTTCATCAAAAACAACATGTCGTGAGATATAAACCTGACCATTAGAAAGGTCTAGACAACAATATCCTTTGTGGATTGAACTATACTCTTAAAAGACACAATGAGTGTACTTTGGCAAAAGTTTATCTTTTTAATAAGAAACTAAATAAAGATAACAAGCACATCTAAAAACTCTTAAATGATTATAGTTTGGCACAAAGTTAAATAACACTTCAAACAGAGAACAATTACCCAAAACTGATGAAGGAAGCTGATTGATAAGATAAATAATTGTAGAAAATGCCTTAAGCCAAAGAGATCATGATAAGGAAGCTTGAAACAACAGAGTCAAGTCTATTTCCTCAATATGTCTATGTTTTCATTTTGCTAAATCATTCTGTTCATGGATATGTGGACAAGAAATTCGAAGAGAAATACCATGGTGATCAAGAATATTTTTAAAATTACCTTGAAAAAATTTAACCTTGTTGTCAAATTGATTTTTAGCCATAGTCTTAAAATTCTCAAAATAAGTAACACTATTAGAATGACGCTTCAATAGATAAATCCAAGTATAACGACTGAAATCATCCATAAAAATAATATAATAGCAAAAATTAGTAATAGTAGTAGTGGATGATGGCCTCCAAAGATCATAATGAATTAATTCAAGAACATTAGAAGTTATCCTAATAAATAAACCAAAAGGTAATGTTTATTTTTTATTGCTTAACAAGCTGCACAAGTTAAGTTACAAAAGGAAGAATCTTTAGGACAGATAAACTTATTAGATCTCAACTATGCTGTAATCTTACTAGTTGTGGATGTCCAAGTCGTCGATGCCAAATTATTTCAGAAACTGAAGAAGAACTGTCATTGAACAAAGTTTGTTGGTCGCATTGCCTCACACCAATGAATCACTCTACATTTCTTACAGGAATCACGTAAAGGTTGCCTTTAACTGGTCCATCTAGAATTACCTTTTCATTGCGAAGATATTTAGTAACAAAAACCCAAGGTTAGCAATAGAAACCACAATTATTGTCTCTAGTTAGGTTAGCAATAGATAATAAATTTTTCTTTAATGCTGAAACAAATAAAATATTTTTCAATGCTAATTTTATAGAACCAAGACATATAGCAGAATCACCAATACGAGTGATGTTTAGAGAATTACCATCATTAATAAAAACATCTTCATTGCTAGCATAAAGAGTAGACTGATGTACCAATGATGGATTGGAAGTCATATGATTGATAACATCTGAATCTGTCAACCAGTAGGCATCATTATCATTGTCCATTTGATTGAAAGTCTCATTAAGGCATATAATTTGTGTGAAAAAAAGATCGAGAATCACGATGATCATACCTTTGATTAATTTGTCTAGTGTGCCTAAAATTACGACGAGATTATTAAAATGCTAACCTCGATTGTTTGGGTGAGTTACCATGGTTGCTTTATGGGAACTAACAATGGCCTTTATAGGTTATGATGACAATACTTGTATTCTTTTCAAGCGTTACTCATGAACTAATAACTGTGCTTTCAAATCATTAAAGGAAATGAGATTTTCTCTATTTTCAGTAGTAAAGATAACTGGTTGATATTTAATAATATTTGACAGTTCATTCTAAATACGAGTGACCAATTCTAAATAAGAGATAAGATTATTTATGACTACTAAATTATTAGAAATAGATTTGATCTTGGCAAGATATTCTTCAATAGATATAGTTCTTTTACTCAAACTCTGCAACTCATGACGTAAGAAATCTAACTTTGCTTGATATTGTTGATAATAAATAGTTTTTAAAGTTATCCAAACCTGTTGAGAAGATGACAAACACAAGACTTGTATTTCTACAGTTGGCAACAATGTTACCTTTAGACATGAGAAAACAAATTGATCATTTTTCACTAATTTTGTATATGCATGATTGGATGTTGTTTTATTATTTTTTGTTATTGTTTTATGAGGAGTTGCAATAGTGCTATCAACATGCCCTATTAAATGACTGTAGAATAAAAAATTTGTTATTTGATCATCAAAATAAATAATTTTTTAAGTTCAATTTAATAGAAATAAGGCTAGAAATGTTGAGAAAGAAAAAATACGGTATAAAAAAAGATTGATTATTGAAAGCCATTATAATATTTAAGAAATAATGTATTATAAAGAAAGTTATTGGAGTAGAGTAATAACAAATAATTATTTTTTGATATGAGAAAAAGACAAATATTTGATTAGAATTAAAGATGAAAAAAGAGAGAAATCCATCGCTCTGATACCTGAAACAAATCTGTAACGAATAAATGTTGTCTTATCCCATTTAGGGTTATGACATTTGTATTTGCATTATGATAGAATACAAACATATTTATATGTAACTAAATCTATAATTATTGATAATATATTTTAATAGAAAGAATCACCAAAACGACGTCGTCCTATTCAACGCCCCTAAACAACACAGCGCCCTGCTGGCCGAAACGAAGGACAAAACCGCCGCGTCGACCACCGCCACACCCTACGGGCGCCCGAAGCAGAACCAATGCCTCCTTGCTCTCCAAACTCGTCGATCCGGCTTGCCATCTCATAGTCGGCGGCGCCACTACAATCTTCCATTCTCTCTTCTCAGAACCATTCACCAACCATTCCCTCCCGCCGCCACAACCTCAAACTCATGGTTAAATTATTCTTAATAAAAAACACGTCTCTTTGTTAGAACTTTTCTCTTCTTAGGGATCAATTAGGGTTTTTAGGGATTGAAAGAGAGAACTTTGCAGGCAAAAGGGGTTGGAGCATTTTTTTAATGATTTCTTTTTCTGTTTGTTAATTAAATTTTTAATTACTGTGATTAGTTGTTGAAGCTTTTTATTTCTGTTGGAAACAGTGAACTTGGAAGGAGATATAGAAGAAGAGCATGCTAATGGCGAAGATCAAACTTGTTCTTCACTTGTAATGGTTTTTGTTCACGATATCCTCCTATTTGTGTTGTCACTTTAAATTTAGTTAAATCACATTGTACTTGCTCTATTTAAAAAAAAATTGTTAATTTGAGCTTGTCTTGATGGCTTAATATGAACGAAAGTATTTGCATTCTTTTCTAGTTTGGAGTGTCCAAAAACAACTGATACTAGATAACAAGTAATGGATCAAAGGCTGGTTCTGACTTTGCGAAAAGGCGATAAGGGTGGCAGGAAAGATGACGAGCTTTCAGAAATTGGGAAGCTAATCAAGGGGAATACATTTTCAAGATGACTTATTGTTGTTGTTGTGCTTATACGGTCTCTCTGTTGTTCATAAATTGTAAACTTGCTTGTTTTTGGCAAGATTACAGGTATAAATTTGTCTAGAACATCAATCATAGCTACACCTCAGGCATTATAAATGAGCTTGGTTTTGATGTTATTAATTAATGAATTGTTCATCCATGTCTGTGCACACATATTCATATCCGTGTTTGTCTCTGTCGTTCAGTGTGATCATTTAGTTAAGGTGAAGAGTTAATTATCTAATATGGGTTTTAACATGTATAATCTGTATCCAGGGATGAAATCAATCGTCTCATAGGGATTTTAAATTCATGGGCTGTTGATAAAGTTGATCAAGAAAGTAAGGATTAATACTATCTCCTGGAGGTGCCAAGGGACTTATAGTTGCTCAAAACCAGGGAAGGCCAACTGAAGAAAAAGCGGATGATATAAATAAAACTGTATGGATTTGGCAAACCAACTTCCTAAGCCAACTGTGAGCGAAAATCATTATAATGAACTTGTATTTTGAATCAATGATATGTCATGATATTTGTGCAAAAATATGAAAAGTATTCCATTCATAGAGAATTAGAAATTAGAATATATTGCTTCAACTCTTATTTTCCTTAATTATCTGTCTGCAGCACATATCTGATGAACATGGTATGGTGGTCCTACCTCCAAATATGTGGAAAAACTTTTTTTCTTTTTGGAAAATTGAACGTGCCTCTGTCACGCACATCTGTATCCGAAACTCACCTCGCATCAGAGTAACATAGCTTGTAGAATCCCTTAGATTTTATTTTTAAAATCAATCATTTGAACTCATACTATCATGGATCCTTGGGAACCATTCACAGGATTCGACATAAGGCTACTTCAGAAACTCCATTTGGAGAATCTATTTATTCTCATTCATCGTTAAATGGTTCTTTTCTGGTGGGAAATTCCAATCTTTCCGGAGGTCTATTACCTTCTATCAAGAAGAATTTGGAACAAGGAGGCAACAGTAGATCTTCAGTTTTTCACTCAGTAGATAGTAACAGAAGCTCCGAAATGGGTATCCCACCTGTTCACCCACATTCCAGTCAGGTGGCTAGGAAAATATTGGACCACCTTCAGCGAAATGTAGCCACTCCTATGGAGAAGTCCAATGAGTTAAAGACACCACTTGATGGAAGCGATCTCAATCTTCTGATGCTATAATGCTGCCATTTCAAAGGGGCACAACAGTTTGCCATATTTAGGATTTGATTCTTCTAAAAGCAAGGATCAAATCAACAATGGAAGTCCTGCTCAGTGGAATGAAGATAGAGAGAACTCATTTTCTGTGCCTTCTCCAGAGATTGCCATTGAGGCTAAGAATGTGAGAAAAACCTCTTCTGCTTCAGACTTACTAATTGATAGCACTATTACAATGTTTAGCAATAATGCGAGGTTTTTATTAGATTTTGGAAAAACTCATGATTCTCAAATCAAAACTGCACATAAGGTATTTCATTCATCCTTTTATTACTGTTCTGTGACCATGCTTGCTCTCACTAGCTCTTATGCATTATCTATTAGTGTATTATGTCATGCCTTAATGCTAATCATTTTGCCGAGTACTTTCCTAGTAAGCGTTAGCTATAACCAGAGACATTTAAATTACAGGCTCTCAGTCTTTTTTAAGAGGAAATTTAACCTGTATTCCCCTAATTTTTTGGAGATACTACATAGAAGATAATATATATTCTCTTAATCAACAAGTGCACTATGGTAAATATATCAACATCCAATTTCTATCGTTTTGTTGTCCCAACTTCGAAAGTGAAAGAAACATGAACTTTTTCTATCTATTTTTATTCTCTCATGCTAAGTACATTGGTGATATACTATCATTTTACCTCCCTTGCGTAAATCGACTTTGAAATTTGGTTGGGGTCATGAATCTTGCGATCATGATATGATGCAGGAGCAGTAGTAATAACTTACTCTGTGTCTCATTTGTCAACTTCCTAAGGTCTATTAAGTACTCAAACTTTTTTTATATGTGTCATTTGTTTTGTTCTTTTTCCCATTAAGAGTTCATAAGTGTACGTCAAAGAATGCCATACTAATCAATTTATGGGACAGGATCTCTCAAAGGTCACTGATGCTGCTGTGTCTGGGGGTCTACTAAAGCATTCATCTAACACTTTGGGAAATAAACTAGTTTTGGCTTCTATATCTGTCAGCAAGCCTAAGCAAAGGTGGATGTTTACTTCAGATAATAGCACTGGTTTCACTTTCCCTATTTCTGCATCTTCTGGCGTGTCTTCTGAGCCTCTAACACCATCCATCATGCCATCATTATCAGGTAATTGTCAGCTTCAGCCTAAAGAGGAAAACACAAGACCATATAGTTTTGCCACTAACCATGTTGATGCTTCAGATATTAACTTCAACTTCGGATCTGATAGGTCATCGAGAATATCTTTCAGTTCAATAGGACAAAATACTATATGCTACTGAGTACTGACACACAAATGATATTTTTATTTTCCTTTCCTTTTTCATTTTTATCCCGTTGTGAGTTTGGAGATGAAATTTCATTGGTGAGAATCCCAATTAGTTATGCAATCGTGCCTTATTATAGGAGAAAGAATTGCCTACAGATTTTCAGGTTGATAATCCTCCATTTTAGGGGAAATCAAAAGAACTAACTGCAAGAATTATATGAGACCAGTAATATTACAGATCCATCTCATTAAAGACCAAAGCTTTGATACAAAATTTATAATTGGTCCATTGTGCATATGCGGTTTTCTCTCTTTTCGGATAGAGGCAATAAATATAATTAACTTTTGTTTGTTCCCATTTTTGGCTTTGGATCTACCTGTCTGCTCTCTAGATAAGAAAGAAAGAAAGAAAGAAAGAAAGAAAGAAAGAAAGGCAGATCAGCCTGGATGATTGGGGCTGAACGTGGCACAATTCCTGTTCGCACATTTGCAGAATTTATGTCGAAAACCAAAAAGCAAAAGAAAATTACCGATCGAACAGGATGCCACAGGAATCACATGTTAGGATGTTGCTCCTATTTTACCAACAATAACTTATCCCTGTTGTCGGGGCCCACCTCCAAAGAAAGCAGGTGCCCTCACTTTAATATAAAAAAATAATATTAAAAAAAGACGTGTAGGAACACGTCGAAAAGACACCAACATTCGTCTTCAAAATCTCAAGAGACCAAAGAGAGTGAGAAGAGTTGGATGCGGGGGTTGTGCCCTGTTTGTGTGGGGAAGAGAGATCAGAACAAGCTAGTCAGGGTTGATAGTTGAAATGACAATGAAACGAAAATGAATGCGTTTACCAGAGATGAATTTGACATTTCAGATTCTTATGTCAGAACTGCACTCTTGCCCTTTTCTACTTTTTTAACTCCCCACTGTCACCACCACCAACCATTGCCCCCTCTCGTGCTGTTATCTTATGTACTACTGCTTTTGCTTAATTCTTTTCCTTGGATAAATAGCTATTGTAAGTAAGTATAGCAGCAAAATATCCATTTGCCAGCTTATAATCTTATCACAATCTAATTGCTGATCGAAGGGCATTCAATTATTATATATTGCCCGTATTTACATTTTACATGTACATCTTTCGCTCTAGCTAGCTAGTTCAACTTCATGATTTTTAGTTTTCGTAGTTTTTTCTCTTTTGAACTATTTTACTCCATTTTTGTTCTTTTCTTTCCCTGTACTTAGACACAAAAAGTAAAAGAACCAAACTATGCTCAACCCCAACTAAAACTTATGGATTTGTTCTTTTTTTTTTTTTTTTTTGACCAAAGTTGCTTGTTTGTTCTTTCCATACAAATCTTGTATTTCTAGTTAACATATAAAAATACATATTTTGGGTCAATAGAATTCAAGTTAGCCCGCAAATATATCATATAGTTATTGACAAGTATATATTATTGTTTTCAATAGACTTCTACTTTCTTTTTGGTGATTTTATCAGGGACCTAGCTAAGATTGAATCCTTGCCTTCAACATGTCATGAATCATGCTATTGATGGACGTAAAAAAAAAAAAAAAGATACATAAGCCTACCATTTCTGGTGTATGCTCATATGTTATGTCTAGATTTTTTTCTTTTTTAACTAATGAGCAAATTGGATTCGTTAAGGTTTATTCTTTTTTAACCTTATTCTTGTGAATATATAGAGCAGTGGGAGTGGGGAGACCACATTTCCACTTCACCAGCTGTTTTGAGAGATGCCCTAATTGCTGTCTCTACATAATGCCTCTCCATTTCATGCATGACTCTAATAATATTGTTTTAATGATTCTAAATATAAAAGTAGTTTGAGAATAATTATTCTCGAAACATTCAAACAGTTGGATGCAATAATCAGAGGGTGGATGATCAGTATTTCAGCAACAAATATGACTCTATATCTTTGCTGCTTTTTGTTGGAGATTCTCTGGTTGTTGAGATGAAATATTATTGTGCCAAAGAGAGCAAAATGGTGGTCCAAATACTACTTTTCACAGAGGTTATGGCTTGTGAGTTTTACATCTATGCTTGGACAGACAAAGACTTTTCTTAGATATATTTACTTTTGAAAGGCCCCCCAAACCCCCCCCCCCCCCCCAACAAAAAAAAAAAAACCGAAAGGAGGGTTAGCTTTTTCCATTCACTCTTTGAATAATTCAAAGCAAAAATGGTCTGTAGAATCATATAAGTTTCTATGTGACAGCTTCAATGAAGCAGCAAGTACTTTGCCAGAGATAGTTCATCCAACTTACCTTTCCCTTCCATTCCCTAATTGAACTTCTTACCAGGAGTACCTTGGAGAAAATTTTATAGAAAAATATGAACTTGTTGTAGTTATTAGTTTATATAAATGCTTCAGAAAATGTTGCTTGTAATCATTATATAAAAAAGATCATGAAACAGCAGCACGTCACAAGGCTGAATTACATCTTAATTGTCCAATTTGTGCACATATACTTTCTTATGATCTATTGTTCTGAGCATGGAAATCGAGCTAGCTAAGTATTTTTGGTTGCAAAATTTGATGCAGATGACATCCTTAGCCCCCTCTTTAATTTCCCTTTCCACAATATAATATACGGGAAATGTAATGACAATTAATTATTTTTTGGCCGAGTATTTATAATTAATTACATTAATTTTGTTTTATTCTTCTTTTAATTGTTTTCCCTTCAAAAATAAAAAACAAAAAAATAAAATTGGATAACAATAAAAATTAAATAATTCGATTCAATTTTAATGTTTGTAAACAATTATATTTGAATGCATGTTACTCATTTTAATACCAAATATGACATTGTTCTTTTTATATTTATGTTTTATCAACTTTTAAGAAAGGAAAAAAAATAATAAGAAACTGAGTTACTAAATAATAATTTTTTTGAGAGATACTAAATAATAATTAAATGGGATCTTATCTTTTATTGGAATCATAGCTGAGGTCATTTAAATTTTCAAAATTTTTCATTACAAAGCCTTATTCTCAATAAGAAATATGGGTCAATTTCAGGAAAAAAAAAAAAACAGTGATTAGATGCAAGATAAATTCGCCTTATGGAACTTAAATTTGACACTTTATTATCTTATGACTTCTTTAGTTAAATTTTAAATTAATGTTGTTAAAGAAAAAATAACATATACGAGTACACTATTAGAGTAAGCATGATAAACTATTTAAAGAAAAATAAAAGGAGATAAAGAAAAAAACAAAAGAAATGAAAAGAAAATAAACTATTTTAGCTTCAAAATTAATAACAAAAATAAAAATTAATTATAATTTTTTAAATCGAAAGATACATATTAGACCTTATAACCACATAAAGGTTTTTTGTAATATATCCTATTTTATTATTTAAAATTTACCTTATAGTAATTTTTGAGAAAGTATATAATAAAAGATAAAACTTAAAAAAACCACAAAATCTTTTTTTTTTGTTTTATTTTAAATCATAACAAATGCCAAGTTATTTTCCTTTAGAGCATTATTAATTTTAACTTTTTTTTTTTATTTTGTATAAAAGAGATCATAGTCTGAAAATAAAAAAAGAGATTGTAATTTTTAACTTATTGGATGTCATCTCTTAATGGTGATGGCATAAATCAACTAAGCTAATCTTCGAGTTTAAGATTATACTAAGTGTTTTCCTAACTATATAACAGTTGATACAAATGCTAATATATATGTTAGGACTTAGGAATATTATTCTCTACACCACCAATGAGTTTTTTAGACTCTATATTAATCAGAGTTAAGACATTGTCACATATTTTTTATTTATCATATTAATTTATTAATTATTTTAAATAGACTCTAATAAAGTATGTGACAATTCTCTAATTTTTATGAAATAATTTTCTTATATGTTAGCTTCTAACAAGTATTGTATAGTAACAAAAAAAGTATCTTGCAACAGTTAACATTAATTTCTCCTAATTATGATGCATGAAAGAATATGTGAATAGATTAGGCTAATTTTTAACTTGAATTAAACTTGATGACAACTGAGTAAATTTATATCTCTAAATAATTGGCACATAAATTATACATGGATTGTAAGACAGTCATGCATGAAGAAACATAACCATAAATTTAAATTATTAAAGGATTTATGTTCATTTGAAAAGTGGTTGGGATGATGAAGACAGCAAAGGAAAGTAGCTCAGTTAAAGTAAAAAAAAAACATATTTTAAAACAACTTAAGACAAATAAAACTAAGGATGTAAATTCATGTCCTTAAAAGACATATTGGATCAAGACTTTCTTTACTTCAAACCGTAGCCTTCATTGGGAAATTAGGGTTGTTGAATCTTAAACATAATCACTTGTTCAGCAGTGCAGTCTTTGATGTGAGATGCTATTCAGAGGCCTGTTCAGTAATTAAATTAAAAAAAAAAATATATAAATAAATAAGTTAATCAGTGTTCACCATTGCAAATGATATTATTCCCATTTCTGGATTATTGGTTTTACTCCATATGCCTTTATTAAAACGAAATAAGAAAAGCTTGACATTAAGGTTATGCAATGACCCTAACAAATATGCTTGATTATGTAATTTTTGACTTCATTGACAAAACTTTTTTATGATAATATGCTAATCTTTCTCAAATTCTCATCAATTTATATCCCAAAGGTGTTTTTTTTTTTTTTTTTTAACAAATTGGAGGTTGTATTCTATGGATAAGAGAAAATGTTACAAATGTTGAAATTTAAACTCTAGATTTATTGGATGTCACCTCTTAAATATGACTACATGAACTAAATAAGCCAAATTCTGGTTAGTGTGATGTGTTATTTTCATATTTATGCAAATAGGAAAGCTTTTAAATATAAAACAGGTCATTTTTACCTTAAGCAAGATAACTAATCAAAACTAGATTTTGTTTTCAACTTTCCATAGAGATCATTATACTAAATTATCAGCAACTCAAATACTTTACTTACATCATCCAGCTTAGTTTGACTGTTGGTTTCCAGCATCAACCCAAAATGGATATGAGGGAAGTGCGCCCACTAGGAATAAAAATGGTTGGTCAATAACCAAAAAATATTTGATATGAAATCTTAAAAGTTTGTGTTTCTGATCAAGTTTTGTGGCCTTGTGAACTTACATTCTTAGCAGCAGTGCTGAATGCTTCCCTGTGGCTGATATCAGGATTGTTGCCCTTGATCCTTTGGATCTCTTCTCTACAGTTAATTTCATAGATAGATTTTCTTATAAATAAATGATAATATAGCCGCCATCATACAAATTAATGATTTGCAATGTTAAAAAAATTCATTAAGTTTTTCATACTTTATGAACTGATTGTATGCAGAAGGTACTCGCTGCCTCTTCTCGGGAGCTGAAAATGAAAATAACAATACTTCAATAATGAATTTATATGCAAACTAGAAAAAAAGAAAACTTCAAACTTGAAATAAATTTTTTTTTTTTTACAATGGAGGTGACAATACGAGGATAAAAAAAGATGTTGTAGATGTTGAGATTTGAATATCAAATTTACTAGATATTATATTTTAAACATAATTACATAAATCAACTGAATTAAATTTTGAATTTCAAACATAAAGTAATTTCTTAACCACATATGAATACACATATGTGCGCACACACTCATGTAGAAAACGAAAGGAGAAAGTAATGAGAAGTGATGTAAGAAAATGCACATTATCTAGCAGATGTGATTATCTTACGTCGGTTCACTACTCTTTCCTCAGAGGCATCGTTAGCAGGATCTCGCATTGACAATTTGTTATTGCATTTGGAAGAGGAACCCAAATCCGTCCTGTAATATTCCTGTGTTACATAATTGGGTGCCTATAAAATGTTGAAAAATGTCAAAGAAAATATCAGATCAACCTCTAAAAACAAGTTTTGATTACAATCAAGAATGGAAGTAATGTTTTCGTCCTTGGGGTGCTTCTATTTTATGCTAACATGGGCCACTTACTTTCCTCTTTAGTATTTTTGTGTATATATATATATATATATATATATATATATATAGATCAGTAAAAATCTACTTACTGTAATGAAAGAGTTACACAATTTTATATAAAGTAAAAAATAAAATAAAAAGCAGGAAATAGAAGAGGTAACGTAGGAGGGGGAGAGAAAAAAAATAGAAAGAGACAAAACTGAGTAGATTGAAAATTGTTTTGAAAGATAGAGAGAGACAGACAGAAAAGGAGCAAAACCAGCATTGAAGTGGCTGAATCAGTTAGAATTGTAGCATCATTTAAGATACATAGTGGACATGCTCATATAGCCAAATCGTTAAAACAAGGGCCCCTAAATCAGTTTCTAACCAAAGGATCTCTCAGAAACCTCTTCCCTTTCTCCCTCAGTTCCCTTTTCTTTGTTTCCATAGTTGAAGAAAAAAGTTCTTGAAAAGAAATCAATAATCCTAAGAACCCTAGCTTAGATATGTTAAAACAACAACAACAACCTAAAGCAGACTTTAAAAAACAAAAAACAAAAAAAAAAAAAAAAAAAGAAAAAAGAAAAGCGGCTCAAGAAAGTGTTTGAGAATAAGAAATTTCTCTAGAAAATGCCTAATCTTTTGATGGGTCAGAATATATATACTTGGTTTATGTTTATAGGGTCCCTAACTCAAGAACGCAAAATCCAGCTCTATAAAAATGCGAATAAAATAGGTATGGATCGTGGCGGCTGCTAGGGTTTCCTGTGGCGCGAACTATTTCATAGAGACCAAATATTTTGAAAAATTTCCATATCTAGGTGTGGAAAAAGCTTTTGATTTCTCTTTTAAAAGAAAAAAGGGTTTTCTACCCCGAGAAGACCTAGGTTTCAAAGGGTTTCAAGAGCATGAAATAGACAATATAATAAATTATTTTCGATCAGGATATCACCTGAACATCTTGCCCTGACAGTGACTGAAATACAGCTGCCATGTTCACGGACCACAGACTGGAGCAGTGCCCGCATCGGATGGTCACAATATCAAACAGGCTGCTGCATGGAACGCTCACCTGCGCATTGATCCAATAAGAATTTTGCAAATACAGCTCTAACTTTCTCAAATATTATTACGAAGGGAGATTTAATTGTAAGCTGTAACAACAAATGAGAGAAAATCCCAAATCAGCTAACTTCCTACAAAATTGGTTCTCTATATGATATTGATCAACACTTGAATCAGCTTAAAAAAAAAGGTAAATGGGGCTTTGGGAATTCATGGAGAAGGAGAAGAAAGAAATGGTTTTTTTTCCTTTGATGGAAAGAAAATAGTAATACTAGAATTATGGGTGCACGGTGGGTTTCTTAATGTGTTTGAGTTAGGTGTTTTCTGGGAAACAATCAAAGCTAAATTTGAGATCTTCATTTTCATTTTCATTTCTCCATTAGCAAAAAAAGCTGAGATAGAAGAGGAAGCAAGTTATGGCAGTATTTTTAGCAAGGGAAAGGTAAGTAACGACAGTAGTAAACCAAGGGAGTTGAGGAGTTGTCCTCCTCAGATTATCAACAAAATGCCTGTGTTTGGACTTTGGACTTTAAAAAAATTACTCTTTTGTTTACCAAAAAAACATAATAAAAAAAAAAGATAAGTAATCTCTAAGCCCTTCCTTCTCTCTTTCTCTCCCTCGTTCTTCGCTCTTTGCATTATGACTTTTCCTTGACTGCAAAAGAAGCAGAAAAAGAAAAGTCTAACAATGGAGACCTGACTGGTAAGAAAAAAACAAGAAACCCCAGAAAAAAAAATCAATAGATTTCAGTAAAAAGAACACGGGAGCTCTGATCTCAGATGCAATAAGACAGCTTTGTTATGATCTAAAATGTTCTTTCTCGTAAGATATACATGGAGAAAGAAAACACCAAACCCAAAACCAAAATATGCATAAATAATAAGTTGGAGGCCTGTCGATAAGAACTGTGAATATATGTATATATAAAAACAGGCAGATCCCCTCATTAAAAGAGAGATATATCAGATACCGCCAGAACTATGTTGCAAAAGTTGCAAGGAATATAGCAGAGTTGCTCAGGCGCAACATCGATGCAGCTCGACATGTCTTTCTAGCACAAATTAAAATCAAAGCTTAAGAGTTATCTCTCCTCAATCCCCAAGAAGAAAGATACAAAAGAGAACCAAGCTCCTCCCTCTGCAACAAGTAGCAAAAACCACAAGAAGAAAGCAACAATTGGAAGCCGAAAAAAAAAGAGCTTTTATTCCCTCAACTCCTTGCTTTAAAACCGGGCTATGTATCACAACAGTAAACTAAATGACCTTTATATATAGAAAAATTTATTCGGAGAGAGAGAGGCAAAAAGAAAGAGAAATTAAGATAGGATCCAAAGAGAGTAAAATAAATTAGATAGAAAGCAAGCCTAAATGTGGAAAAGAAGAATATGAAAACAAGTGGGTAATTTAGTAATAGTGCACACGGCACGGCAGGCAGCAAATGCTGGGAACTGGATGGGAAAATAAAGGGTGGTTTATTATGGGAAACCGGGTTTAGTTAGAGATCGAAAGGCTGTTCAATTACTTGCTATTGGACAGATAAAGAGGTTAGGGTTTGAAGGGAAAAAAAAAGAGAGGAAAATTTGGCTGTATTATCAACCTGTCAAGATTAACCTTATTGCTATTATGATGACGTGATCAGTGTGACCCTGACCCTCAGCCCTGCTGCACCCGCAGCGGACGAGGGGGGCGTATTTTTTATCTCAATCCTTCTAGTTTTCAACTATATACATTTACTTATTTATATCTAATTATCTATCTATATATATACATATATAAGGCATCTTGTATATTTGTGAAAAAATTGGTAATAGAACTCCTGAATCCTGCTATATAATCTTTCCTCTCTATTCTTAATCTTGATCTCTTAAATAATTTACTAACGACCCACTAGGGTTAATTCAGTTGGTAGTGAAAAAAGTTCCCTTTTTTTGTCAATCAAAATTTGATTTCGCAAAAAATACTGACAGTAAAATCCTGAATGTAATCAATTAATGTAAAAGAATGTGTTCTTAAAATTAATTTTTGATAATACCTTTAATTGTAGTACGAAAACCATATATATACTTTAATGATGGGAACTTTAAAATACAAAGTCAGGTAAATTTGTTCGAGACTTAAAAATTTTACTTTCATATGAAAAAGAGCGATACTTGATTCATGAAGCTAAAATCGCAACTATATTGTTGTGTCATGTGAAGAGTCTTTGATTATATCTACTTAAATTGTAACCTCGCTTTGCTTGGGATTGGTTGAGGTCAATAATTTTTTTTAAAGTGTATTATAAAGATATAATTAAAGATATTTAAATATATTATATTTACATATATATATTTATCAAATAAAAAATTAGAAATTATACATATAAAAGAAATATTACAATTTAGTGAGAGATTAAAAGCTAATATTACAATTTTGTTTTATGTACCAAATTAAACAAAAGCATGAAACAAATTTATATACAAAAATAGACTCCCTTAAACAAAATCCAACTAAAAAAACAAAGTCCCATTTCCTCACACTCGAAAACCCATTAAACCTAAAAAAATAGACAATAATTATGTGTAAAAAAACTTATACAATACCTATAAAACAACCCACATTCCTTCACACCTCAAAGCCCACTAAACCTAAAAAATAATAGTTGTCATGTGTAGAAGGCTTATCTATATTCCCTCACATCCCAAAATCGATTAAATCCCCCTATAAAAAAATAATGTGTAGAAGGCTTATGGGACTCTTTTTATAGATAGTAGTATAGATGACATAGGGAGTAATGGACCGAACCCTATTACAGTTGTATTTCCAAAGGTTTTTAATTTCGATCGTATTAAGCAATTGATTACTCATAAGGCAAGTTGTCTTTACTGTAAATAGAAAGAGAAAGTATACTGATGTGATCTATATAAATAAAAAGGGTTAGATGAGATGAGATGCTGCATGATTCTTTCTTTGCTTTTTTTCTAGTACTTGACTGTTGGCACATTAAAAGATAGCATATAGAGCATTTAATTTCATGGTGGATGGTTTGATAGAGGTTGGCGTAAATGGTTAAGATTTAGGGTTTAGATGTAAAGTATTAAGGTTTGAATTATTAAGAATAGTGACTTAAATCTCAAACAGATTTATTTGAAATTCGTTAAATATTATTTGATGGATAAGAAAACTTGTGGAAGAAGAATTAAGAGCAAATGGATTCTTGATAGGTAAGTTTGTATACTTATAAATAGGTGAAGTCTTTATAAAGTTAGGGATGAGAAAAAAACGTAAGTGAATTGTGAATTTTTATGTGATACCCCATAGGACTACAAGAGATTCACATTTTTATGGATGTGTATATTTGAGTGGACTACAAGAGAATGAGAAGGTCCACATAGGTATGGTGCATGGGTGTACATGGGTATGAATTTATTTGGGTTAAGAATATTTTATAAGATTAGAAGAGAATGAGAGAGTTTATATTTATTAATTGTTAAGTGATTGATTGAAATTGTTTCCAATTCTTTATAACTAGTGGATATTCTTCTCTCATCTGTGGATGTAGGTCAGTTGAGATGAACCACATTAAATTATTATTTATTGCATAATTGATTAATTATTTGATTATGCTTTCGTTAGCTTTAATGTTCAATTGGATATGGGCTTTTTAGCCTAATAACTGGTATCAGGCTATCATGATTTTAACAAGTGATATCAAAGCAAAAGTTTGAGACATGAGAAAAGGTAAGCCTATAAGAGTTCAATTCAACAAAGGAGTTCGAGTTCATGTTTTAAAGATTGATTTAGATACACAAGAAAATATTGTTACAAGACTTTCATTACAGTTGGGCCGAGCATGTCAAGCATGAAGATTGATAAGTTGATGAAATTTGAGTCAAAATGGAGATTGTTGGGAATAGTGACTCAAATCTCATAACAAATTTGTTTATAATTAGCTAAATATTGTTTAATGGATATGAAGACTTGCAAAAAAAGAATATTAAGAGGAAATGAATTTTTGATAAACAAGTTTGTATACTTATAAATAGATAGTTTTTATAGAGCTAGAGATGAAAAAAAGATGTAGGAGACTTGTGGGATATAATATGATAAACATCCTATAGGACTATAGAAGATTCACATCTTGATGGTTATGTATGTTTGGTAGACTATAAAAGAATGAGGGGGTCCATATAGATATGGTGCATGGGTGCACATGAATATGTATTTGTTTGGGTTAAAAATATTCCATAAGATTAAAGGAGAATGAGAAGGTCATGAACATTAAATATTAAGTGGTTGATTAAGATTGTTTGTTTATAATTCTCTACAATTAATGAATTTTTTTCTCTATTCGTAGACGTAGGCCGGTTGACTTAAATCATGTTAAATTATTTTTTATTGTGTGGTTGATTAATCATTTGATTATATTTTTGTTAGCTTGAATGTTTAATTGGATTGAGGTTTTTTAGCCTAATAAATAGTATTAAAGCTGTCATGATCTTAACACGAACTGCCATGGCCTCTTATTGGTAGACAATCTGTAAATTTTAAAAGTCTCAAAAAATTTATAAATCCCATTTATGGGTTGGTAGCTTGCCTTGGTTTTGGAAATAAGATAATCTCTCCTACTCCTAAACTTTTTTACTCAAAAAACATTTCATGTTAGATGAGTTTGGTTGAATTGGTAAAAGTAAAATATTTTATTCGTAAAATTTAAATTCAATTTTCTATTATGAATAATTTTTTATGAATGATTTATAAATTTAATATTAATTTTATAATTTTTTTTATGAATGATGTGTAAATTTAATATCAAATTTAATTAAAACCTGTAACATATCTTGCCTTAAAATAGAGTATTCTCCCCTCATAGAATTTTCTTTTTTTTTTACCAAAAGAACAAAATATTTATGGTTAGTGTGGCCCTCTTTCTCTAGCTCTCTCTCTCTCTTTTTCTTTGTGATATTACATTGCTTTGTAGTTTGAACCATGCACTTGAAGGTCAGTAATAATGGCATGTAAGATTAGTATAATTTCATTGTAGAACTTATTGTCTGTACATAACTTGAAGAAAATCAAATTGATGGAAGCATTAGAGGGGAAGATAAGATAATTAAACGGATATATAGAAAAGGGAATGAAGGAGAAAAAATTTTGATTATTCTTTTTTAATTATTAGTATTGTAGACACCCTATTTAGTCTGGGGCTCAAACCAATTGGGCCTAGATCCGATCCAAGCCTAATTGTCCGATTTTCTATATTTCTTTTTAATAATTTGTTTGTCTTATTTATTTATTTATCTTTTTTTTATATTTTAGTTTTTTATTTAGCTAGTTTTAAATTTTTATCATAAATCATAAATCATGTGGAGTAATTTAAGCACTAATCAAGGATGATCTTAATAATTAAGACTTAAACATGATATCTTCATATATTAAAAGAAGATTGAAAAGAAAAAAAAATTAAAGAATCAAAGTCAGATTTAATTTGGAGAAATTTTGAAGGGATTCTAAAAATCAAGGAAAATCAAGGCAATTCTAGAAATTAATTAAATCAGTTTTAAAGAGAATCAAGAAAAAATCAATTCAAAGCATAATTAGATCTACAATCTTTTCTATTTAATGCAAATCCTTAAAATTCCTAGCAAAAAGCCCTATATAAACACCAATCAATCACACACAAAAAGGGGAAAAAAAGAAAAATTCTAGGGATCTTAGTTTTTTGTTTTTGGGGAGGAATCATTCAAGCAAATTCTAAGATTTTTTCTTTGAGTTCTGTGATGTTATTTTGTTCTAAATTTGATTTGATTTTTGGGTTTCCTGAATTTGGATTTTAATTTTTGAGTTTGATTCCATATTCTATTAAGTTTTTGAGATTTTCCCTGGGGTTTTTTTGGTTGGTTTTTCATTTTGGGATTTTTATTGGGTTTTCAAGAATCTGAAAACTTTTTTGGGTTTAAATAAGATAGATTTAATCAGGTAGCCAATCACACTTAAACAAAAAAGATTGATGACTACTCTTTTAAACCATATCTAGCCGTAAGTCAACGGATCTATGCATTATGACAGTTTGGCAACTCCACTGGGGATATCGAGAGTCAGGCCAGTAAATGATGTCTCATTATCCAAGCCTAACCTAATTATTTTTGAGATTTATTTTCTTGTTTGTATTTTATTTGTTTTATTTATTTATTCATATTATATATTTATCATTCATTTGTACATGCATAACATGAGCTCTACATCCAAGTTCTATCCTTTAAAAGGAAATACCTACGTTTTTATGAGATTTCATGTCTCTGT